TTGTCGTGCAGCCGCAGACCCTTCCGAAACCAGTGAATGGAGCTGTGCTGCATGGCCGGGGGGTCCCGGGGGGACGCGACCTGGGAAAGGAGAGCTGGGGAAGAAGTTTAGGGGAAGAAAATGCCTTGTTTGGTAAATTTAACTCCTAAAACCAGAGGGAGCGGCAGAGATGGACCCATCCATGCCTGGTTATAAAATCAGATGGGGAAACAGGTCTGTGCTTGCTGGTGTGTGTTGACGAGGGCTGGGTGTGTGACGCCCATCCGCCGACGGCGTCTGGCCAGTGGCGGATGTGGGAGGGAGGCCCCGCTGTGGGCTGTCTTCCCGGGATCGCGGCTGACTTCCTCTGCCTTCGCTTCCGCCTGCTCAGGCGGAGCCCGGACCTGCTGGCAACTGTGGGGTCTCAGAGGGGCCAGGGGAGCTCCTCCACTCTGTTTCTGGGGAAGCTGGTGGGTCCCCCGTCCTCCCCTCTACCCTGGGGCTGCTCTGTTGGGAACTGCTCCCACATGGAGAAGCTGTAAGGATGGATAAGCCTCGCCACTCGCTGCGGATCCCATTAGGCTCCAGAGTGAATGTCCTGCATCCTACCTCTCCTTTCCCACCTAGGTGATCCTGTAAGATCTTCCTCCCAGGAGCTGATGCATCCCCCATCCCTTCTGTGGTGCCCGATTCCTGCAGCCCAGGTAGGCATTCCCCAAATTTCCCCCCACAGCCATGTGCCGTCCGAGCTTCTCATTCAAGCCGTGCTTGAGCTTTTTGCTGTTACCGAGCGCTGGCTCGCTCGGGGAGTGCGGTTTCCGCCGGTACGCTGGGTCTTGCCAGCATCTGCTATGGGCCTGCGTCCTTTTTGGGGTGGGGAAAAGGCTTCAGCGTGAATTGGAATGTTTTATTTTGGAAGAGGTGATGGAAGCAGTGGAAAATGGCAGCCACGTTTGCTCCTGGGGCTCATCCCTTACTCTGTTGCTGCTCCTGGGTACCCACAGGGAGGGTCTGGGCACCCCAAACCCTGCCGGGAGCACGATGCTGAGGCGTGGGCATGGTGTGAGCTGGCAAGGGATGGGCAGGATGCCAGGATACGGATCCGGGCCTCACCCAATCAATCTTTTGTTTGCTAGCAGCGAGTTGATCTCCGGTGATCCCTGTTGATCCCCGCTTCTCCCCTCCACAGGATCCTTTCCCCGCCACCGGGAATGAGGGGCTCTTTGGCCCATCAGCTCTCAGCCTCGCTCACCGCAGGTGCGTGTCTCCGGCGGAGGGGATTAGCTGGTGACAGGCAGTAAAAGGGCAAGCAGGCAGGAGGGCTGCTGGAACCACTACTTCCAGCCCTGCCTGATGTTGAAATGCTCCTTCCCAGCAAATTTTGGGGAGGCAGATGTGAAAAACACTGCCGGGGGTGATTTTGGAACTGCAGGCGGGCACCCCGCTGGGCTCCTGGGGCTGAGACCTCCCATGGGGCAGTTCCTGCTCTCCTAATTTCTTCTCTTTATCCCTTTTTTCTGCTGGCAGGAGAGGTTTCACGCCGGCGACTGGCGGCTGAGCAGTGTGTTGCCCACTATGGCCGGTGAGTCTGGGCTTGGTTTGTGCCAGCTGGGATAAACCCTCCGGCTCTATCCCCACCCCACCGAAACACAAGGGTGCCCACCGGCTCGCTGTGATGCAGTAGCATCCGGGTGGCAGGTTTAGGGGTTGGGGTAGTTTTTCTGGGGGTCAGGGTGAGATCCTGCCCGGCTCCTTCCATCCGGAGGTGTCTTGCTGAGCCAGCGATGCTGCGCAAAACCCTTGGGAGGCCGGGGGTGGGGGGTAGTGCTGGGCCCCCCCCAAACCTCACCATGGGCTCTCCAACTCCACAGGATGGTTTAGGCGGCTCTTGCACAAGCCCAAGCCCAGCTCGGTGGAGAGCAGCCTCAACACCAGCCACTCCTCTTCATCCTCACCTTCCTCCTCCTCCTCTTCCGCCAAGAGCTCCAGCTCCTCTCCCAGCATGAGCCTGACCAGGTCCATCCGCTCGTCACCTGTGTCCCTGTCGGACATCAACGCCTCGGGCAGCGCCCGGTGGGCCAAGAGCTACGACGTCTGCATCTGCCACAGCGAGGTGGACCTGGAGCTAGTGGAGGAGCTGGTGTCCTACCTGGAGAGTCAACCCGAGAGCTTCCGGTGCTTCCTCCAGCTGCGGGATGCGGCGCCGGGAAGTGCGATGGTGACAGAACTGTGCGATGCCGTGCAAAACAGCCACTGCTGGGTCATGCTCATCACCCCCGGCTTCCTCCGGGACCCTTGGTGCAAGTACCAGATGCACCAGGCGTTGGCCGAAGCGCCCATGGCCAACGGACGCACCATCCCGGTGTTGAAGGACGTGGATCGGAAGGAATATCCCAAGGAACTGCGGAACCTCTACTACATCTACATGGCGTTGAAGGAGAACAGCTTCAGGCAGATCAGAGACACCGTCGTGCGCTGTGAGTACGGTGCTGGCGAAACATCGTCGTGGGAAGGGATTTCGTGAATATATTTAAATCGTTGGTTTATTTAAATTAATTGGTTGCTAACGGGGCTCGTGTGCCTCCGCAGACCTCCAGGAGCTGTGCCGGAGCTCCCTGAGCAGGACTGAGTAGCGCCGGGAGCAGGCAGAGCATCCCCGCGGGTGTTTCGGAGCTGCCACCGCAGGACCTGGATCCGGCTGCG